TCCAAGAGATCTGACTCAAATCCAAGGATATTAACTTTGTCACCTGTATACAGTAAGCTCTGAGACATACACAGGACTAGGTTGTAGTAAAGTAGCTAGAGAAGCAGGCTAGGAATTGGGAGGAGGATGAGGATAGACAGGTTTACTAGGAAGGCTGACTGTATGTTCTAAAGGATCAGAAGCTGTAGGAGGACATTGTCTGAGCTCATTACAACAATCTGACTGTAGGACATCCAGGCTGACACAAAACACAGGAACTCATTACTTAGAACTACTAGTAGTCTAGAATGTAGAGGGAAATTCTAAAGTATATAACTAGTTGTAATACATACTAACAGACTAAGGCTTACTAGACAAGGGTTTAGACTCCTCTACATCTGTATCAGATCCTGGATCACTCTTAGGAAGAAGTCTTAGTGGACCTGATTAGTAAGCTACCCAAGTCTTAGGGTTACAATACTATCTGTATAATTATTAACTGATTCTCTAAACAAGTCCACACAGTTCCAACCTGAACAGAACTCACTTCTGAAGGTATGGTGCACATTTATTAGGATCATGTCTTCCAGTTACATAGACTCCCTTAGAAGCTCATTTATGATTGTGGACTGTAATTCAAGTTGAAATTCATGTAGGACTTGTATGTACTTCTCAGAATTCAAGGGAACCCTTCTACTACCTATCACTTACAGACTGACAGTTAAACTAAGTAAGTCAATCAGGAGATTGAGCTCTACCTCTGAATGTTCATCAATCATTAGTAATTGGATTGGTCTGAATGGTTAGCTCTAGCAGAATTTGTGTACAATAACTAGTAACACTCTGTAACAGGACAGTTCCTGTTCTTCCTCAATCATGAGAGACATCTGTACTAGGGGACAGTTCTGAACTAGAACAGTAGTTCTGAATCTGTAACAGACTTTGTAGAACAGATACACAGAACCAGGGAGGATACACAAGCTCTTTTGGAAAAGGTAGTACAGGTTATAAAGTAGAACTATGATTAGAAGAAGTCTACAGCTAAGGATTACTAGCCTGGTGACAAAGTTATACTAGAAGCTACTAACCTGACCACAGATTGCCTAATGAAGAAGTTGGACAACAAGTGCTTCAGACCCTTTGTTATTGAAAAGAAGGTTAGTGCCTCTGTCTACAAACTCTAACTTCTGGCAACATAGAAGTGTATACACTCAGTGTTTAACAAGGTTCTACTGTCTTAGTACTATGATCTGGGTTTTCCTTTATAACAAAGACCCTTACTGCCTCTACTAGAACTCATCAGTTCTAAACCAGAATACAAAGTAGAGTATGTAGCAGATGCTAAGCTAGTGTATAGAAAGCTCAAGTTCCTTATCTACTAGAAGGGATACCTAGTTGAAGAACACACTTGGGAACCTGCTAAGAATCTTACTCATACTGTCAAAGTAATCTGAGACTTCTATTGACTTTATCCAGGTGCTCTGTGTCAACTCCACCTTACAGATTTCCAAACCCTACTGTTCTAACCTATACCTGAGCTGTTAACCAAGCCTAATATTTACCAATTAGGACAATTAGTTTTAGAGGGGGGGTGATGTTACAATCCTCTACTCTCTTACCTTCAGTTCTAAGGGTTCTGCACCCTTCTGTACCAGAACTCAGGACTTCTGTCCCTCAGGAGTACTGTCTATAGACTATATGTATGCTGACTCTTACTACTACCCTTCCTTACTTCATCATTCCATTCCTTTGACTACTCCTTCATTCTCTGTTCATTCTATAGTCTCTTACCCTTTGTCCATCCCTTCATTCTTTGTACCTTTATCTTTGACATTCCTTTCTTTCATTCTTTGTGGCTTATTATTCTTAGTAGCTCATACTCCCTGAGTACTCTTGTGTAGTTTAGTATATATAGGTATACAAGATCAGACTGGTCCTGTAGTCTTGATCTTGTCTACTCCAGGTAGTCCTGTACTCTTAGGCTCACTCTATATACTCTACTCTTGTCTCACTCTCTCTCTCTCTGCTTGTTCTGCAAGTTCTGACTACATTCTAGTGCTTGTGTTCTGTATTTCTGTTGTGTAGGATAGTTGTAGCCTGGGTCCCCTTGCTGAGCCTTCAGGTCCCCTCTATACTGTTGCTGACAGTAATGAAATAATAGAAGAGAAGGGTAAAGGTGATGAATACAGAGTAAAAGTAGAGGTAGTGTTACATGTGTTTATACTGTTCAAATTGAGTAGAAATGGAACTTGCAAAGTTGCTCAGAGAAACAGAGTAAGTATGTTATTAGTTTTGTTAAGCAATCTAGCACTTCCTCCTATATTACATACAGGCAAAGTAGATAGATAAGGAATATGAAGAATTGATCAAACTATACTAGAATTTGTACAATGAATAGTAGATAACAAAATCAATCATGATTAGTCTATGTTTGATCAAAACTGTAGCACATGTATTAATACAAAGTATATGAATTAGTATGAAAGGGTTTGTAAAAATTAGTAAAACAAAAATTGGTCACAATTACTTTGGAAACAGATTTTTT